AAACCCCCCCAAAATCACCCCAATAAAAACCCAAAAAACCCCCAAAAACAGCCCCAAAATTACCCCAAAAAAACCCCCAAACCGCCCCCCAAAAAAAAAAACCCAAAAAACCAAATAAAACCCAAAAAACCCCCAAATCCCCCCAAACTGCCCCGTTTTTGGTACCTTGGGCCAGCCCAGCAGATTCCGGGGCTGGTTTTGGGGGATTTTGGGGGATCCCCCCTCACCCGAGGGGGGGGGAGGGGAATCCTCGTCCTCCCCCTCCCCCTCCTCATCCTCGTCCTCCTCTTCCTCCTCCTCTTCCTCCTCTGGAACCTCCAAACCTGATTTGAAAACACCAAAATTCAGATTTTTTTCCCCATTTTTTTTACCCCCCCAAAATCAAGAATTTTTCCCGTTTTTTAATCCCTAAAATCCAGAATTTTTTACCCCAAAAATCCAGAATTTTCCCCATTTTTTTACCCCCCAAAATCAGAATTTTTCCCCATTTTTTACCTCCAAAAAATCAGAATTTTCCCCATTTTTTTACCCCCCAAAAATCAAAATTTTTCCCACTTTTTACCCCACAAAAATCAGAATTTTCCCCATTTTTTTACCTCCCAAAAATCAGAATTTTTCCCGTTTTTTTATCCCCAAAATCAGAATTTTCCCCATTTTTTACCCCCCAAAAATCAGAATTTTTCCTGGTTTTTTACCCCAAAAATCCAGAATTTTTCCCCATTTTTTACACCCCCAACCCCACCCCAAAATTTGGGATTTTCTCTCTTTTTTTAAACCCCCAAAAAATCACAATTTTTTCCCATTTTTTTACACCCCCCCCCAAATTCAGGATTTTCTCTTTTTTCTTTCAAAGCCCAAAAATAATCAGAATTTTTCCCCATTTTTTACACCCCAAAATTTGGGATTTTCTCTCTTTTTTTAAACCCCCAAAAATCAGAATTTTTCCTGTTTTTTTTTTTATGCTCACACCCTCCAAAATTAGAACTTCTTCCCCCCAAATTTGGGATATTTACCCCTCCAAGGCCCCCCAAATTCAGGATTTTCTCCCCCAAATTCAGGATTTTACCTTCCAAATTCAGGATTTACCCCCCAGACTCAGGATTTTAACCCCAAAATTCAGGATTTTATCCTCCAAACTCAGGATTTACTCCCCAAAACTCACATTTCACCCCCCAAATTCAGCATTTTCCCCCCAAATTCAGGATCTTACCTTCCAAATTGAGCAGTTACTCCCCAAAGCTCACATTTCTCCCCCCAAATCCAGGATTTTACCCTCCAAATCCAGGATTCACTCCCCAAATTCAGGATTTGCCCCCAAAATTCAAGACTGTCCTCCTTTTCACCAGCCCCAAACCTCTCAGAATCAGGGTTTTCTCCCCCAAATTCAGGATTTTTTCTCCCCAAATTCAGGATTTTTTCTCCCCAAATTCAGGATTTTCTCCCCTAAATTCAGGATTTATTCCCCCAAAATTCAGGATTTTCTCCCCTAAATTCAGGCTCTTACCCTCCAAATTCAGGATCTTACCTTCCAAATCCAGGATTTTCTCCCCCAAATCCAGGATTTACTCTCCAAATTCAGGATTTTTCCCCCAAACTCAGGATCTCACCCCTTAAATCCAGGATCTCACCCTCCAAATTCAAGATTTTACCCCCCACAAATTCAGGATTTTTGCCCTCAAATCTCACAATTCACCCCCTAAAACTCAGGATTTTATCCCCAAATACAGCATTTTGCCCCCAAATTCAGGATTTACTCCCCCAAAACTTAGAATTCACCCCCAAAACTTTTATCTCCCCCCAAACTCACCTCTCTCTTCCTCCTCCTCCTCTTCACTGTCCCCCCCTTCCTCTTCCATCTCTTCCTCCTCCTCCTCCTCCTCCTTCTCCTCCATCCCGTCCCCTCCGGGGGGGTCCCCCCCTGATCCGGAGCCCCCCCAAACCCCCCAAATCCCCCAGACTCACCCTCGTCCTCCTCTTCCTCCTCCAAACTCAGGATTTACTCCCCCAAAACTCACCATTCACCCCCAAACCTCAGGATTTTATCCCCAAATTCAGCACTTTGCCCCCAAACTCAGGATTTACTCCCCCAAAACTCACCATTCACCTCCCAGATTCACCATTTTTGCCTCCCAAATTCAGGATCTTACCTTCCAAAATTCAGGTTTTACTCCCCCAAAAATCCAAGAATTCTTCCCATTTACCCCCCCATTGAATCCCCAAAATGTTTTTTTTTCCTGCCCAAATTCGGGATTTTCTCCCCCAAATTCAGGATTTTACCCCCCAAAATCCAGAATTCTCCCCCTTTGCCCCCCCAAACCCCCCCAAATCCAAAATTTACCCCCCAAACTCACCTCTGTCCTCTTCCTCCTCCTCTTCGCTGTCCCCCCCTTTCCTCCATCTCCTCTTCCTCTTCCTCCTCCTCCTCCTTCTCCTCCTCAGCCCCTGGGGGTCCCCCCCTGATCCGGAGCCCCCCCAATCCCTGCCTCACCCTCCTCCTCCTCCTCCTCCTCCTCCTCCTCCAAATCCGGGATTTACTCCCCAAAACTCACCATTCACCCCCCAAATTCAGGATCTTACCTTCCAAATTCAGCGGTTACTCCCCAAAGCTCACATTTCTCCCCCCAAATCCAGGATTTTACCCCCCAAATTCAGGATTTCCCCCCCCCAAATTCAGGATTTTAACCCCCCCCAATTCCCTACTTTA